GGAGCTGAATACACCCGGTAAATCTTCCTCCGCCAGTTCTTCGGCAATGGTTGAGCGATCGAAAGGTCTCGGCCAAGATGGCCGGTGTTGGTTAACTCGTTTAGAAAGTTGCTCAAATAGTTCCACCACGGCAGCGTCAATGCACCCCAAAGCTTTCGGAAAGATAATCAAACCGTACAGACCCAGTGCAAAAAGGTCTATGGTCTTCCACTCATCAGGGTGGTTTTTCATTAGTTGCTTTATGTGGATCCATTCAATTCCTTCTCCACTGCCTCTACGCTGAGTCCGATCGATTACCCATTTCTCATCTACTCCTGCAACTTTGGCCAGTGCATTCTTGAAGGCTGGCTTTTGATGTGTTTAATGTAGGCTCGCTCAAGCTTGATGCTTTCACAATGCAGCAGTGTAGTGTATTCTTCGATGGTAGGCACCATGTCCTCTTGGTTAAAAGTGAAGCAACTATATCCCGGGTTCCAGAATTGAATTAATGCTCGGAGTAAGGGTTCATCAGTCTTGACATGGAGCAAGAGGGCGATATCACCATATCGTTGGCTGAACTTCTGCTTTCTGTCATTCTTCCAACTGTCCCAAATGTTTCGCAGCTCCTGGACATTATTCTGTTTCAGGCTGACAGCGGCATAACTAACCAGTTCTGACACATAGTTTCCCTGAAGACTGTCTCCCTTCTCTTTCTGAGCCTTCTCGGACCATAGTCGTGCCTCAGCGTTTTCAATCTCTTGTATTACAACACCTTTGTCCATTAACTCGAATTATTTTTTGTATAACAAACGTTTTTTAGGGATCAATAGCCTCTTGTAATGATGCAAATGCTAGAAAACAAACACAAAGGAAAAAGCGTTAGTAAAATAGAAATAGATAAAAATAAATAAGAATAAATGGTAAATGAAAAAAATAAAAAGGTTAGGAAAGAAATGTCCTAGGTTTTGAAATGTGGTTTTGGGGTAGGCTCTACTTATTCAAAGCCTCCCGGTTTGGGTTCTAAAAACGGTACTCGAGTTCTCCTTGCTGGCGCCCCCTTGGACCGACCAGACCCTTAGTCCGAAACCCATCACAGGCTTGTGTGGACTAAGTTAAACTCGAGAGGACACATTCCCTTATGCCCATACGGAGAATAAATTCACACGAAGGCATAAGGTATATGAATCCCGAAGGCTACTTGCTAGGCCCATACGGTGAATAAATTCACACGAAGGCGTCGCTTTCACCCCCACTTAAAACGGGTTCGGAGCTCGGGTTTAGAGCCTTAGATGAAAAATGTTTGGAAAGCTGAAATCATGAGAAAACGATTAGTACAACTATTTACTCGAAAAATATAATCAAAAGTAAGCAATAAGGATCGAAATTTTACCTTAAAATTTAAACTTACCCTTTTCGTTAAAAAAAAACAACTGGAAATTACCTTAGCCTGACTCACTTACCTGTGTCCCCAGCAGAGTCGCCAAGCTGTCGTAACCGTCTTTCGGTTGGGCCCCGGAATTGGGCTTCGACTTGGATTGATTGGGTTAGAGTCGCCACCGATTATTTAGTTAAAATAAATAGGTCAATCGGATACCTTATATCTTACATGATCTGCGTCTTACCAAAGATATGTCGGATTCGGGAGTCGGTTACAGCTAAGGAAGGATTAGCACCCTTGAACTGCCCTTTCGGTACTATGTAATTTCCAGTTGTCTTTAATTAAGAAAGTTGTAAACTTAAATTAAAATGTAAAATGACGATCCAAATTACTTACCTTAGATCGCTTAAATTGTACCCTTAAAAGATCAAGACATATATTAGATAAGGAATGCAAATAAAACACCTAAGGTAAAATGGAAAACAAATAAGATGAGGAAAATATAGAATATAAAAAGAATATATATGATGGTAATAATAATAAAGATATAAACAATGGGAAAAATAAGAAGATATATATAATAGTAATAAATAAATAAAAAACTAAAAAAACTAAAATAAATAAATAACTATAATCAAATATGTACATCTAAAATAAAAAGGAATAATGAAAATAAAATAATAAAAATATAAAGTAGGATAAAATGAAAACGATAATGATGTTAAAAACACGAAAGCTACATATAAATATCAAATATATTATTTAAATAAAACAAATGAATAAAAATAAATATACAGATAATAATAAAAGGAAAAAAAATATATGTTTATATACGCTATCAGTAATACTTAAAATAATAAAATTAACGATGGTTATGTATAGAGATAAATAAAAATAAATACTTACAGTAAAAAAAATAAAAAAATATAAAGAATATACATATAATAATAAAAGAAAAAAATATGTTTATATACGCTATCAATAATACTTAAAATAATAAAAATAACGATGATTATGTATATACATATATATATAAGTATAATAAAATAAAATAAAATTATACATAAAAATATATATATATATATATATATATAAATAAAGGAATAAAACGTAATAATAATGAAAATATAGTATATAATAATGGTAGGGACTAAATTGAAAACGAAATAAACTCAAGGGTCAATTTACAAGGTTTTTTGGGTTCAATACTCGATTCAGAGGACCGAATTAAGTGTTTTTGAAACTGGAGAACCAAAACGCGAATCTCTCGCTTCTTGAAAAAGCACGCGGGTTCGAGGTTCATCGGGTCGGGCACGAGCTGGAACGGGTCTGATATATGACTCAAACATATTCCTTTGTTTCATTTCTCTCCTCACAATCAGAATCTCTCTTCCCCTCTCTGAAGAACGCTCCCCAGTGTTCTTCAGAAAATAAGAACACGGCCGGATTCTTCAAGAATCCAGAAACCGACCGCCCTACGCCGCCTCGCCGCCGCCGTTGAACGGCGACGGCCGCCGTTCATCGGCGGCAAAAACCCGTTTTTTCCTCTGTTTTCCAAAGCTTTTTAAATCTAGTTTTCAAAAATCGAAATATTTTTTATAAAAAACGAGCCTCGGGGGCTAGATCTACAGAAGAAGATCCCGGCCAAACCCCTCCGTTCATCGGCTAAAATGCTCTCTTTTGGGTTTCTTTCGAACCAAAGCTCAACAAAGACACCAGACAAGGAAGAAAATCACACAAAAGGTATGAACTTTTTACCTTTCTTTTCGAAATATTTGCACGAAACCCTCGAGAAAATCTGAATGCTTGGTTATGTCTTGCTGGTAATTTTTGTTTGTAACTTTACTTGTATTCAGTACGAAAAAGAAAAAATCCCCCCTTTTCCACTGGGTTCTGATTACATATTTATAGTATAAGAAAAAAACTGTCCTTAGAGATTGAATCCGAGTAAGACTCGGTTTGGTTGTTTGGAATCCCACTAACACACGCTGCTTTGCTTGGTGTCTCATGTGCTTACATTTGTTGGTGGTTATTTGGTGGCCGAGAGTCTTGCGCCGGAGAACTCGGATCCGTTGGAGAGAAGAAACGTGCAGCCATGGGGAGTTGAAGGAGAGAACGGCGCTAGGGTTTCTGGAAACCCTAGCCTATTGGTCACGTGCCTTGGGCTGCTGAGGCGTTGGATCTGGGTCACTTGTATTTGGGCCGTTTGTTATCATTTTATTTGTAAAGGGCCTGTGTAAAAAAAAAAAAGAATTTAAGTATGTATATTATGTAATGTGGTTAGAAATTATTATATGAAATAACATTATTTAAATCTGATGAAATTTAGTGTCTTCAGCGTAAAAAACAGTTATAATAAGAGGGGAGATATGTATTTACATTAGTTTAAAACTGAAGTGATTTTATATATTATGAAATCCTTTATATGATTAATAATTTAATTATAATATATTGTTAAATCTATTATTATAATTGTATTTAACTATTTATTATACATATAAAACTTTAAATTAATTTAATATTTTAATCGTTTCAATTGAAAACATCATCTTAAATAGGGTATGCTTAACAGTTGAAACATTTTTCAAGTAAAATAAATTGTTAAATATTTTTATTTTTATTAAAATTTAAAATTCATAAATTTCATGTATAAATTATTAAAATATTATTCATATAAAAATAATAAATATATAAAATTACTTTAATTCCATACTAATATAAATAAAACATTTAAATAACAATAATAAATATTAGTGACAACTATTAAAAAATAAAAGAATAAATATTGGTGACAAAAACGACAGTGGTCATAAAAGATTGGAACATGGGTAGCCAATCCACCCTGTTTCGTAGAGTTACACGTGTCACAAAATGTGGTCCCCACTAAATATATACCACAGATTACTCAGTCGCTAACTTTTGTCTTCATTTATTACAGAATCACGTTTTGATAGAGCTATTACTAAGCCTTGGATATACGAGTACAAGACAATTTAATACAGGGTAAAGTACTCAGTAGGTCCTCTAACTATAGAATATTACTTTATTGAGTCTTTTGACTATTACAAATTATAAAATAGTCATCCGATTATAAGATGTTCCTATGTTGAGTCCCTCGACTATTAAAAGTTATAAAATGGTCATCAGACTATTCATTATATTTCAAACTCATCATTTTCTGTTAACAAATTGACGACATCCTAACTTGGACTAGGATATGATAGAATTTAATCATTGGATCTCAAACGACTATCATATCTCAGTCAGTATGTTAATGTCCAACTCAACAAAGCAACATCCTATAGTCGGGGTACTATTTTGTAATTTTTAACAATAAAAATACTTAACAAAATATCATCCTATAGTTGATGCACCATTTGTATACTTTAACCTTTAATATAATTTATACATTAATATTATGAAAACTTTTGTGTTTGAGTAATTATATTCATCAAATTTATAAATTGTCAATTTCATCCTTTAAATTAAATAAAATTGTCAATTTTATTAATCCTAGTGTTAAGTATTCTTGTGGATAACCAAAGATGATTTCATTACCAAACATAAATCCAAATAAATAATCTCTTTTGTGAAATCATTACAACAAATGGTTTCATTACCAGACATGAATAGGCTACCTTAATTAATAAAGCTGTCGGAGAAGAAAAGGCCTAGAGGGGGATTAGATTTCTACGTCAATTTAACGTCGAGTAATGTCGTCGGATTTCAGGGTTTTCCGCCATCGGCGAAGTAGCAAGCGGGACAAGCTCAAGAGGGCGGTATCTTGGGGACCCCTTGACGTTGCAGCTCCGCCAAAACACCGTCGGTTGAGGGCGGTTTCAGCCCGATCGGAAGTGGCAGCCATGGTTTTGATAAAACTTCTCCGATGGCTGCATCGATGCACTCTCTCGACTGTTTCAACAAGATTGCATGCATAAATATAAAGATCATTCCATCTTATAATATTAAAGGAATTATAACTAAAACGAATTTAAAAATATTATTATATTATGTGAAGATCGATAATTAATGTGTTAATAATGTATAGTTTAATGTACCATTAATGAATAGGATAATATTTTTTTGGGATAAACCACACGTTTAATACTTAAACTATCATTTTTTGTCTATTTTAATACCTAAATTTTCAATTTTTTCAAAAGCAAACCTAGCGTTAAGTTTTTATTTTATTTTAGTACATTTGTTAAAAAAATAACGTTAAATTTTGAAATAAATTGAAAATTTAAGTATTAAAATTGACTAAAACTGATAATTTATGTATTAAATGCATAATTTACCTATATTTTTGTCATCGAAAATAAAGTGAACAAGTACTAACCGGATGAAAGTCGACCAGAGGGTGGCGACCTGATTGTCCGGTCGGGGTGCCGATGCCGCTGTCTGCTTTATACATTGCATGGTGAGGAGGAATGCCCGGCACCGGAATTGCACCAAATCCCTGCACGTAAATTAAGTCCCAAATGCCACTAAAATTAATAACCTAATCATTTAATTGTTTATAATGTAATATATATATATATATATAGGAAGACAAACAAGAAGAATGGAAGACAGTAATGAGTGATTGGTTTACCGTTGGCGCGGCCGTCGATGGCGGTGGAAAGCAAGGTGTTCCCGGGGTTTGTCCAGTTGGTACCTAACGAATATTAAAGAAATCACCACTTTTAGCAGCTAAACTCTTTTATATTTGTAATTATGTACTAGTGAAAAATGGTTGCGAGAGCTCACACGGTGGTGGTGCCAAAAGTTGGGATCAGCCGGGGGCGGAGGGGACAGCGTGTGCGGCGCTAGATGTTTCGGCCATAAGTGCATTAAAGATCGATCCATGGGAGGATGACCCCATACATGCAAAGGCCTGAAATGGTGGTTTTGGTGGTGCATGGGCGGAAACCCTATCGTAGGTGAGAGCCAAAGGTTCATATCTCGATTGGCTCTGCCACTTACCGGCGTAGCTCCGCCGTAGATTTGTCTCTTGTGGATCCAGTTCGCAGCCTCCGCCTCACGAGCTAGCAAATGCTTGCGATGAGATCTATATTTCTGCGTACAAGTAGAAAACAGATTTAACAATGGATTCTTAAAATTTTAATCCATGAAATGAATGGAAATAAACGAAGAATTAATTAAGCGAAAAAATGGGAATTAACGGTTAAATTATGTACTTGAAGATGGCTGGCGATGTTATGGCGAGTTAAACAATCAATTCCCATAATCTCTAAAATTCTCGACGGCACCGCCTTATCCACCCCGAGCTGCTCCACCGCTTGCACGAATCTCCGGTGAAGCTCCGGCGTCCAATCCACCTTCAAACAATACAAGAGATAATTAGTCCATGGATCGGAACTATTTCGACCTAATCCGATTCTAAATTTATTTGAAAAAATTGTGAATAAAAATAAAAATCAAGTACTTAAGTTCAAATGAATTATTAATTACTTTCACTTTCCGAGTGCCTGGATTGTTGTTGTTATCCTTTGCTTTTGATGATGATTTTCTTCCTTTATAACTGTCTTTGGAAGCAGTTTTAGATGCTTTAGGTTTCTCGTTGCCTTGATTCGAACCCAAAATTTTATCTTCTTCTTCTCTCCGGTTATCTTCTTCGTTGATTTTCTCCACCGACGTGTTCATATCCGATTCCTCGCCGCCACTTGCGGCGGGCATTTCGGCAAGAATTTCGGGCTCCATCTCCAAATCCGGCAACACATCGCCTTGGACGTCGATGCCGAGGAAAAGATCGTCGAAATCGATACTCTCGAGTAAGTTCCCGTCGGCAAAATCTAGGAACTCTTCGGAGCTGATAGTAAAACTCTCCATATCTCCTTCGCTTCCATCTTTGCTTGTGTTCCTCAAAGGTGACACGGCTAGCATTAATTCAATCTTTATTTGCTTTTTCCTTTTCCCGGTTAGCTGTTGAACGGAGATGAAGAGAAGTGGGAAGCGAATATATTTAATAAGTTGGTGTGGGGTTCATTGGCTGTTTGTTTACCGGGAAAAATCTGGAAATGGAGTGTGGAAACGATGAGACTTGCACCACAAAGTGGACTGAGATCTCTTTGAATTTCTTTGTTTTATTTTATTTTATTTTATTTTCGTTCTTAAATGGACTATTTGCTTGAAAACTTCCAATTTCCAATCTTCTATTATTATTGTTTGAGTTGTGTTTTAATTTAGGGTAAATTACACGATAGTCACCAAACAATACTAAACTGATCATTTTAATCATTGAACTTTCAAAAGTTCTAAAATAACTATTAAAATAATCAAATTATTATAAAATTATGATAATTTTTTATAAAATTCAAAATTATTTTAATTAAAAATAAACGTTAATGTTGATTTTATGTCAGTATTTTTATATGATATTTAACTTTAATTATTGCTATTATAATTGGTTTTTGTCATGTCTTAGTCATGATTGTAGCTTAGCATGTCTTAGTCACATACACCAAAGATCTACAATACATGCCAAACGTCTGGCTCAATTTTAGTAAAATACCACCTATTTTAAAATAATTTAATTCAAAATTTTATAAAATTTGATCGGTCTATACAACATACTTAAAAAAATAATATGGTGCTCGTATTATTTTTTTTCTTCGATGTGGCCCTTCAACTAAAAAAAATCCAATGTAATCTTTTAACTAATATTTTCTGTCATTGACCAACGACTCCATTAATTCCTGCTAACATGAATCTTTTCTCAAATTTGTTACGAAGGAAATATGCTTGTGGCTGTTGGAAGAGACGAAAATAATCAATTTCCAGTTACATAGGCAGTTGTTGAAGGGGAAGGAAAAGAATCACGGAGCTAGTTTTTGCAGAAACTTGTAGTTGACTTAGAGCATACTAATGGCGAATGATTTACATTAATGTTGGTAAATGATGGAAAAGCGTTGGTCAAAGGATTACATTTAGAGATGGCAATGGGTCGGGTCGGGTCGGGTTTTTGGGCCACCCGACCCGACCCGAGAAGAAAGGGTTCTCCACCCGTGACCCGACCCGACAAAATTAATGTTTCACCCGACCCGACCCGACCCGAATATATGACTTAGAAACCCGACCCGACCCGAAATAATAAAAAAAAATTAATTCAATGAAAACAATGACTTAATTGAAAAAAATTATATATGGAGGGATATTATTGTAATTATCCCTAAATATATAAGATAAAATTATATATATTTTTCGGGTCGGGTCGGATTTTTTTACCATAAACCCGACCCGACCCGAACAGTGCATTTAAAAAAAACCCGGCCCGACCCGACCAGAACCCGAAATTTTTTTAAAAAAATCCGACCCGATCATGTCGGGTCGGGTCGGAACCCGTCGGATTCGGGTTGAGTTGCCATCCCTAACTACATTGGGTTATTTTTTGAGTTGGAGGATCACATTAAAAGAAAAATAGTATGAGGAGCACATTGATTTTTTTAAAAGTACAAATCAACCTCTCCCCTAATAAAAGATTTTAATTTTACATTTATCAAACACGAATTAACTTATTTTAGTGGTTAAATAAATTATTATTATTTTTAAAGGTTATGTGTTCGAGCACCAACGACTGCAGCATTATAACTAAACGTTCATTATAAAATGATTAAGAGTATTTAGAACAAATACTACTCACTCTCAGCTTAATAAAACAAAAAAAAATTGCATTAATGTCTGTAAATGAACTGAACGTTCAGCGAACCGTGCAGCGGGAAGTTCATTTATGTTCGTTTATTTATTAAATGAACGAACATGAACAATATTTTGTGTTCGTTTAATTAAATGAACGAACACGAACAAAGGACTCGTTCGTTCATTTACGTTCGTGAAAGTTCGATTATATGTTCGTTTATGTTAGTTCATTTATGTTCATTTATGTTCGAACAGAGGGCAAGTTGAATATGTTACGAAGATTATTGAAGTTGTTTGGATTTCAAGAAGATTGTTTTTGTCGTATTCGAATAAATTAACTCTAAAGTTGCAGGTTATATTAATGAATTTTAAGTTGTTATTCTTGTTGTTTACTTTTTTACATTCATTTGTTGTTCGAATAAGTTTATTTTTTGTGTTTGTGTTGTTCGTTTATGTTCATTTATTATGTTCGTCCGTTTGTGTTCGTTTATCATTTAAATGAGCGAACATAAACAAACTATATTCCTTAATGAACGAACATGAACAATTTTTTTTCGTTTATATTAATTTATTTATTAAATGAACGAACATAAACATATATCTGTTCGTGTGCGTTCGGTTCGTTTAGAGAGATCTATCTTCATAAGATAAACACCTCGAATATAAAATTGTGTGAAAATCAACGACCACAATTTAAAGATATTCTGCAAATCGGTTGAAACGTGTACTTTCCCTTTCTGGTCATTCGTCCATGTCGTTTTGTGGTGTTTGGGACAGTCGTTTTGGCTTGCGTTCGGCGTGCTCTCCTTTTCTTGAAATGCTAGCCATAAGAACTAAAAACTATTTGGTAAACTACATCATCAGTCACAGACCAAGTGCCTTTTTTCTACTTTAGTCACTAAACTATATTTTTGGGTAAAGTCATCACAATTGTTATTATTTTTTAATTTTAGTAGTCAACAATTGAAAAATTAAACAACTATATTACCTACTTCATTTTGCATTTTATTTTAACGATAGAGTTCCGATTCTGTATCAACTCTCATTAACACTTTATTTATTATCACTATGAAATAGAGTATTTATTTTAAATTATCAGACGCTTCGATGAATCGATATGATATTTTGAGTCCATTTAATAATCAGATCAAATCTAAAATGTTATTTGATCAAATAATGAGATTATATAAATGATTAAATTGTATCAATTTAAAATATAAGAGTTACATCTTAAATTTTAATATAATTAAATAACAAAACCCTAATTAGACTATAAATCCAAATATGTATGTGTGAGATACGATGGATGATGGGGCCAATTGACACATCTTGGTAGTACCATGAAAAAGGACTCAAGTGACTCAATACCAGTGTTTCAGTGCAGGCAAGGACACGTTCTTTAATGGGCCCTCACCATTACAATAATTGTTATTGAACAAACTCTTTACAATCAATGATGATTACGTTGTGAACACCGTTCTTACTTTCTCTTTCACGAGAGGTCCCCTTTAACCAGCCTTCAACTCACTCTAACTAGAGTTGGTGGTTGTCGGAACCAATCGAATCAAGATCAAATTACATTTATATATAAGGTAAATAAAATATTTAATATTTAAATTATCAGTTTTGATTTTGTACTTAAACTTTTAGTTTTTTTAAAACATATATAATATTTAATTTTTATTTCGTTTTAATATAATACCGTTAAAATATAAAGTATAATTTGCACGTGATATTTTTTTATGAATAAATTACATCATTCATCGGTTAATTATCTTCTTCCTCTTAAAAATAAGTAGTTTTTCCAACAAAATTATAAAATGATTTTATTTTTTGAATACTCTGAAATAATTATAGTATAATATTTATTTATAAATTTAAATTATTGACGATATACATGCAACGTACCTATAATTTAAGACGTATTTTTTCACAAACTTGAATTTAAAAGATAAGAATTTAAGCTTTCGATTGAAACCAAAAGTGATCCCAGATTTACAGAACAAAAGGATTGAATATAATTTAAAAGGGAATTGAAGAACAGAGAAGTTACGGGGTTGGATTATTATAAGATAAAGTAGATAGGAACGTAAACGAATAACGAAGATTCCGAAGCTAGATTCAAGCAAAATTGTTGAAGCCTACGAGGTATCATATTGAAAAGCTTTTTTTGATTCGTTTTACGATGATGGCCGCGATGTTTTTGCTTCAATTTTATCATGTTATTGAATTAATCATCTCTGGGTCCCGTATTATGATCTGGTTGCTTATGATTTTCTGTTTATTTTGTGTGTTTAATTTTCGTAAGGTTCTAAGTGATCCCCAGAAAAGAACAGTGTATGATCAGTACGGTGAAGAGGGTCAAAAAGGTGCAGCGGCGCCACCGCCGGCACCCGGCGGTGTTTCCTTCATCTCTGCTGGATATGGACCGACGACGTGCCGGTTCAATCCACGGAATGCTGATGATATTTGCTGAGTTTTTCGGATACTCTAGTCCTTTCGCTGGTGGAGTAGGTGGTCCGAGGGGCTCGAGTTCGCTTTTCGGCGACAACATTTACGGTTCTATCGGCGGAGGCGGTAGCACGAGAGGCACTCGATTCTGGGGTTCGCTTTTCGGAGATGACATTTTCGGATCGATGCACCAAGGTCTCCCAAGAAAAGTAGCTCCAGCGGAGAATAAGTTGCTTTGCAGCCTTGAAGAGTTGTACAAAGGGACTACCAAGAAAATAAAGATCTCTAGAGAGATTGCTCATATCAGTGGGTAAAAAATCTTTTGCTTCTCAATCTGATTCAATCACATTGCTTCTTCTAACACTACGATGCCTTTACCTTTGTATATATGCCTTCATCTAAGGTTGCATCAGACGTGAATCCGAATGAGGTCGGTAACGATTTTGTGAATTTTTGGAATCACCGGAATCGAACGGATATGAACTAATGAATTCCAAAGTTTTAGGGACCGTTTTCGTAGTTTGTTTTAACCTTGTGCAGCTAAGCATTCATCTTGGAAGATCAATACTCTTTTAAATGGTTTTGTGCTACGGGACTTTAGTTTTGGAGTGTCTCCTAGCGAACCCATATCAATATGCACTTCGGTTCTTATCGAGGCTCCTATGAACACAGGGAGAACGTATCGGTTTAGGGACCGTTTTCGTAGTTTGTTTAAACTTGTGCAGGCAAGCAGTCCTCTTGGAAGATCAATGCTCTCTTTTAAGTAATTTCGTGCTAACAAACCAGACTTTAGTTTCAGTTACCCGAACTTACTTATTGTAATACCGTCTCCGGGAAACATTGTTTCGGTGTTTTTATGTGCATGCATGATTATTGATGTGTTGAAATACTTACTTTAGAACTGTCAATTTTACAGAAACTTTCTTCTTATTCAAAGTGACCATGTA